CATTTTTCTGTTAATTTTTTTTTTCAACAGAAAGTGAGGGAACTAAGTGTTCATAGCTGCTATAATATAAGTAATAACAGGAGCTATTATTTGTTTCACAGATAGTCCATGACATTAAAGGTAACTGGAAATAGATAATAATTACTACTTGTCATTTGGTAATACATTTTTGAACAAATGTAATCATTGGCAAATTGCTCTAAAATAAGAGGAATAAAACACTAATAGACATGCTATTACTGGAAAATAAAAACTCATGTTAAGGGTGGTTGGGGCACTTTCACCCCTTCTGAGTCAGAATCAGGATGCAATTTGATACATTTGGTTCATTTGCTGTTTGATTTGTTTTGTTTTCTGGAACAAAAAAAAAAAAAAGAAAAGAAAATGTGTAGGTCTGAAAATGCGTGTGTAAAACTCCTTCATTCATTGTTCAGAAATATATCGATGAAGAAATCTCAAAAATCATCCGAACACAGAGCTGGTGCTGAATAAATTGCTACTTATTAAAAAAAAGGCGTTTAAAACATCTTCTGTTTGCATCCACTATTCTCTTTTCTCTTTTTGTTCATCAATCCAAATCTCTAGCATGTCTGCAGAGCCACAGCTCTGTCCTTTGGCTTAGTTTGCACCTCATGGCTCAGTCTAGCAGCTTCCATCTGCAGAAAAGTGCCACCGTCCAGTTGGATCGACTCAGGGTTGAATCAGTGTCTCACTAGAATCAGACCTTGCTTGAATTTGATTGGATGCCAAGACCAGCTCGTTTAGATTGTCTTCACACCTGAAGTTCCATTGCTATGTTCTTGCCTGCCACTATGAACCGCATCAAAGAGGAAAATGAATAAAACAACGAAACACAACAACACAACATAATATTCAAGAACCAAACAACAGCTCTCCTCTGAAATGATGGTGGAAATGTAAGATCATCAGAAACTGCACATCATCAATCTTTTCACAATCAAAAACATACAATGAGATGGAAACATAACATCTTTTAAATGTTCTGCCAGTAATGTTGCGAGAATGACACAGCTTCTAGCCAACCTGTTAACTGAAATTTATCTTAACACACTTAACTAGATAAGTAGGTTAAAATATATTAATCAATAATTAATTGCATTTCCAGGCAAGCAAATAAAATGGGACAGGGCAAGCACATTTCTAATGTGTCTAGTGAGATTGCTAGTAAATTTATGTTTTTTTTTTTTCCCACCCCCTGAGTCAATACCATGAGCATCCACAGCATGCATAAACTTGTGTCAGTGGATTGCATCATTAAAAATGCATTCCAAATCCAATGAGATACCAATCCAGCATTTCAGGACCGTATGCAGTATAATGTTCATCTTCAGTAATAAAGTGAAACTGGTGCGTGTTTAGCTTGTACAGCATTCATGTACATCTTCCCCTATTTATATATTGTTATGTATCCTGGCCAAGGACAGATCAGTCATAATGAAATGATCTACAGAAAGAAAACTATTCTAATATGGTTATTGTGGGAGATGGTCGTGTGTGTGTGTGTGTGTGTGTGTGTGTGTGTGTGTGTGTGTGTGTGTGTGTGTAATATTGCCCTACTGCAGACAGGGAAAGATATTCAATGCCCTCTGATTTCTATAATTTGATAACAGAAGCCACTAGCCAAGAGCTGATTTACTGTTCTGAAATGAAATGACTTGCTGTAAGGGAGTGGTGGTTATTAGAAATGCTGTAGTGAACTGTAATAAACCCGGCTAATAAGCCGCATGTGGAACAATGTGGAAAATAATGAGGCGGTCGTGTTCCTTGTGCAAAACGTTAAACGTGATTTAAAACTGAGTGACAGTAATAAGCAAGGCCGTTGCCATTGTGTCTTAGCTAACAAGCTTCGCTAGTCTGCTTTTTTTGCAGCACGATACACAGAGTAAGCAGCTTGAAGACTCATTGAAGTCATCTACATATGGTGTAGATGAAGGGCTTTATTTATTTCTTTGTCTCCTAGTGACATTGCAATGAAATCAAAGCATTTTTGTGTCCTGTGATGCTCTCTAATATTTATTTATTTATTTATTTATTTCAAAAGGCACCCGTGTTTATGGAAGTTAACATGTTACCTTCAGTCGCCCATTTTCCAGTGGTAACATGTTAACTTCACTGGAAAACAAACAAATAAATAAATAAAGTTTTTTTTAATGACATTACAGTGGATACTAAGCTTTCTTATGGGCTGTGATTCTTTGTTAATACTCAGAGTTTTATTTATTTTTATTTTCATTTTTATTTGTTTATTTGTTTGTTTGTTTGCTGGTCTGTCTGTTCATTCATCAATTTTTTTTTTATTTATCTATTCTTTACTGTAATTGCAGTGAAATGAAAGCTTTTGTGCCCTCTGATGCACTCTAATCTTCCTTTCTTCCTTTCTTTCTTTTCCAGTGAAGCTAGCATGTTACCTGAAGGACTAGCCTGATTAATGGCAATACATTGTATTATATATAAATTTATTGCCCGTCCCTCCTCATGCATGTTGTGTAAACACAGGTGCCTTTAGAAGCAGCCACAGGGGAATTAGCCATGGACGTTATAAATAACATTCCCAGGGTGAGTCAATAAGTAATTACTTGTTACTCTTCTATCGAACGGTGTAATCAGCGGGGAAAAGGAAGAGAACGGGGCAGCATTGTAGTGAGCTAGAGTTTACCTCAGGCCTCTGTGTACTTGCTGTTGGAAGCCACTGTGCAGGGGGAAGCTCTAATCATGTTCATCTGTGCTGCTGATCAAAGCTGTGACAGGCGAGTGTGTGGGGCCGCTGATGAATACGTCAGATGTAGCTGATTAGCTAGCCGTTAGCGAGCCTCTCCAGAGAGAGAGCGAAAGATGGAGGTGACAGGAGATAGAGGCTGTTGAGTAGGTTGCAACTAAATGTAAGTAATACCATACAGAATGTTTAATAATTTTTCATTTGAGTGCTTTCCATCTCGCATTTTCACACAGATGTGCAAATTAGTCACTTGCATCACTTCTGTGGGAGTGTGTGTGTGTGTGTTCCTCAATGTAAGTTCTCTCACACACGCATTCTCGTCACAGTGTACGGATGAAACTGTCGTGAAAAAAAAGATGTGGACCGTTATCTTAAAGATCAGTGTGGGAATATTGCTTGTCTAAATTCTCGTTTTTCCCCCTCATACAGCGAGTACTTGAGCTATAGATTAGTTCTGGAATCTCTTCCTTTCCCTCAGCTACCCAGCGCTGGATGCAGCCACCAAATCAAAACAGACGAAAAAAAAAAAACGCTGGTAGGCTAAGAAAAAAAAAAAGAAATAACAAGCCAACTTGTTGTTCTTTACACCTTTTCCCACTAGTCGTTGCACTTTAGAGAGTTCACCACACCTCATGTACATAGCTTTCTTTCTTGCTGTTGATGGTGTTGTGTTCATTCATTTAACCTGTTTATTTATCTACACATATAGCTGCATTGCTGTCAAACAGACAGGACACTACAGAGTTTATTTTTAGATATTATTCTTTGCTTAAATTGTGAGCATTATAAGTATGGCCAGATAACTGCTAGATTCCTCGCTCTACTAAAATGCTAAACTGCATTTCGTTACCCCGTATTTATACGTGTGTAATGACAATAAAGTTGAATCTAATCTAATCTAATCTGAGTTGAGGATTAAATGATGTGGAAGTATAGTGTAGAGCACAGACAAGGCTGCTATTCCAACAGAAGAGTGGTCTCTGTATGTTCCTGTAGCTGTACTGTGTAAGGATTAATGCTGCCTTCGACTAAAACTCCAAGAAAAAAAAAAAAACAAGAAAACGTCCTACAACTCGGAAACTCAACCCAGAGCTCAGCAAGTGACATCAAATCAACATGGCTGCTCACAGCATCAGCAGTAAACAGAGCAGCACGTCTTTCTTATGAAATGGATTATACTGTATATACAAGTATTTGCTTGAGATCAATCAATGTACAGACATATTCACTTGTTAAATATATAACACTGGCTACAGTTCACTGAGGAGGAAAATATACATCAGTCATCTCAGTTAGCTTGCTAACAAAAGATGAACAAGGAGGCATCCATGTTTATTTTCACACTTTGTAGCTTGAATGCACGGAGGCCTTCTTACTTCTGACTTCCTTTTTCCGAGTTAATTTGAACGCATCATAAAACACTTGGGAGTGGCCTGTTTAAGGAAAATAATCAACAATGGGGTGGTGTAATGTAGCGTGATGTGAAATGGAGTTACTGGTAAAACCCCAAAGTTAATTATTTTCCAATAACATCCTTTAGTGTTTTATTACTCTGGCAAAAAAAATTATTAATAAACTACACATCATGCTTCTTATTCAGTTAATGTTGCATTTAATGTTGTGGAACAGCTGCAAAATCAGTTATTTCCTAACTACACGCTTTAAAAAAAAAAATCCATGTATGTGGTCACTGTGTAAGTTGTCACTGTAGAAATGAAAACGTGTTAGTAGTGCATTAATATAAACCTGTGATTTGAATTAGCTAGCACTACTCTCAGAGCTGCTGTTATAGAAAATTAATTAACACCTTCCGATTAATTAGAATCTCAGAATTGAGAATTCAATAACAGTGTGATATAAGGGCATGTAGAGAATGGTACTGCTAAGAAACTAGAAGAAATCTGCCAAAATATTATACAGCCTGCTATTTAATGTATGCATATGTTATATTTGTTTTACAAGGTTTTTTTTTTTCCCCCAAACTAATGATGGCTGAACTAAATTGGCAACTAAACACAGTTGTGCTGAAGTTGTGTGATTAGCGAATTGTGGGGACATTGGACATGCTCTGCTGAGGGATTTATTAGAGCCAGTCGTTTGTGAATTTACCACATAATGACTAATTTGCATAAAATTAAGCAAATCTCAGTTTATTACGACATTTGGCAGACACCCTTAACCAGAGCAACTTACAATTATCTCATTCATACAACAAAGCAGTTGAGGGTTAAGGGCCTTGCTCAAGGGCCCACCAGTGGCAGCTTGGCAGTGGAGGGATTTGAACTCTCAATCTTCTGATCAGGAGGCCGACGTCTTAACCACCAAGCTACCACTTCCCGCTTACCGCTACTACTTCCCTAGTTCAGATGTAAAAATGTTGGCTTGTTGCTGTGTCATTGGAATCATGCGCATAGGAATTGAAATGTCACCTTCTGCTTTGCTGGGCTGCTGGTGTGAGCGCAGGAGAAAGGTGTAAAACGGTAACTCTGTCAAGGCCTGGAGAAGAAAAAGATTCAGAGGTGAAATGAGAGAGAGAGAGAGAGAGAGAGAAGGAGAGAGAGAGAGAGAGAGAGAGAGAGCAGAGTTCTAGTGGATACTGCAAACAAGAACTTTAACTGTCAGCCTCAGCAAGCACAGATAGCAGCAGCTGTCTCTCTCTCTTTCTACCTCTCACTTTCCTTCTTACTCTATGTATTTCATTCTTTCTCAGTATTTGATGGAGTGGACAGAGAGGGATAACAGGGCATGCTAGGAGCACACAAACACACCCAGCAGAACAGTCATTAACCACTCTCTCCTAACCTCACCACATGCACACACCTCGCTGTAAATACAGCGATACACTCGGAAAACTATCCACACAGAGAGGCGTGATCCTGTAAGCGGTGCAGCTTTCTCAAGAGCAAAGTCGAGGAAAATGTTATCAGACACAGATAGAGATGGAGAGCAGAGGCTGAGGGATGGGAAAAAGAGGAGAGTGAGAGGGAGCACACACAAAATGAAAAAAAAATAAATAAAGAAGAAGAAATCAGGTAGGAAAAGGCTCTGGGACGACAGGAAAGCTCTGTTTTGGTTGCTGTGCATGGCCTGTGCTTTAACCCTCTTTGTTGCTCTGCTTACTACTGAACAACGATTGACCCAGATCAGCTCTATTGATTTCATTTTTTCATAGCAAAACAATTGTCAAATGCAGTTTATACCACAGTGCTAATGAATTCTCAATTCTGATTGGTCAGCTGGCGCTGTTTTAATTTTCTATAACAGCAGCTTTGACATATTAATGTGTTCATTCTGATACCTTTTCGTTTCAATAGTAACAATGTAAAAACTGAGACTTGTATGAAGGAAGGCCTGCATAAACTGGTTTTATAAATAGTTGATGTGAGGAGACATCTATTTAACGTTTGTGGAAGGAGGCTCTTAAACAGTCAGAGGTAAAGTTTTAAGTTTTCCAATGTAGGGAAGTCTTTCAGCTTTTGCTGCCCTTTTTTTTTTTGTCTTATTAACTTTGTCTTATTAAGAGATGCTGGCGATGGAACGAGTGTTTATGGGGCAATAACGCAAGTATTAACAGGAAACACAAATTTCTTCAGGCCCACTATCATACCCATGAGATTTCACATAATTTAGCAACAGAAGCTAGTAGATACTGTGAGAAAATCACAGAGCTCTGATAACCATATCATTCCAAAAATAGGAAGATGGGATTGGTGCATTGCTATAATATTCCCAGCATACCTATCTCAATTTTCATTTACTATAATAGAAATAGAAATACAATTTACCAACAGGCGGAAGAATAAATTGACCAAACACAATATTTTTATTGGAAAATGTAAAAAAATAATTGTACATTACTTGCTCAATTTTAGTTACATTTTACCAGGAGTGATGTTTATCTGAGTAGAATGTGAGAATTAAGGGAAACGCTGAGCAGGGTGAAAGGGGATGGAGGGGTTTCAGAGGCACCACAGGAAGCCTTTAGTGTCTGTTTCTCTGAGCAGCACCTCCTGTTGGTTTTTGATGCCCTAGCAGCGGAGTGCTGTGCTTGCCTCTTCCACCCCTGGGGTGCCTCGTTAGTCAAGAGGGCCTCGCTCACGAATGAAACCTGGCAGCCTTTCATTTTGATTGATGTGCAGACAAGAAGGCCAAGTATGTGCAGATATGATTGCTAGGCATCAGAGAGCACATTTGGCTTCCTGCAGCAAGTGGATGTTTATTCATTGATTTAGATTTGCAGTTGTCAGTGTCCTGGTCAGACTGGCTCTCTCACTTTTTTTTTGTTTCTTTTGGTAAAGTGTTTTGTGTGGTAGCAGGCTGTGACTGTTGCATTTGAGACTGTGCTCATTTGTCTCTGTAGAGACCGAATTGGATTCCACATTCAGCAGCTGCTGGTCATTAAATGAGGCCTATGTTGAAGATAACTGGCCACTAATCACCGCTCGCTACATGAATGTGTTGACCTTATGCATGTCCCTCTTTCTCACACACACACACACACACACACACACACACACACACAGGAGAATGATCCACAGTTCAATATGTTGTTAAATCATTATATGTGTTTCCTGACTTTTGCAATAACACAATATAGGATCATTACTAAAGGATCTTTTCTATAGAGTGAGTATAAATTATCTGTATCTGTATCCTATAATTTATTTAGCTGACTCTTACAGAGTACAGTTCATTGAAGTTTGAACTAATTGGCTCTATAAGCTCTATTCATAACATTTCCCCAATGCCATTGATTTTGATTTCTGTTCGAGATTCATCTTTGAGCACAAAATTGCTTTTTGTACCACACACAGCCATAGAATGGGAGATTCCACAGTCTGAGGCAATATAGGTTTAATAGAATAGAGGTTAGATGAAAAATAAATAAGTTAGTTGAAAATAGAATAGCATCACTATTGAACACTGAATGAATCAAATAGGCTCAATGGAAAAATAACAGAGATAGACAACTGTGGGTTTCATGCTTTTCTACATGTGGGAATTCCAGTTTCTGGAAGCAAAGCAGGTTGCCAAGGTCCTTTCGGAGCATTAGGCATTTTCTTCCGCTTATAAACCACCAAGAACTTTTAAAAAAAAGAAGGATAAGTATGAGCGCCCATTGCTTGATCTCTTGTTCAAGAATCTGACATATGATTAATTTTCTGTAACAGCAGATCTGACAGTAATTCCAGCTACAAGGCAAGTCATATGTTTATACTAATGCACATGTTCTAATATGTTATTGTTTCTATGGCAACGGATAATTCACATGGCTTTGTAAGGCAGACACTCCGCATAACCTAAGACAGAAAACATATTAGAAATATATTGTTATATTTGGAAGGAGTTTCCAGAGTCAGAGCTTTGTAACAGTCAAAGGTAATGCTGTTATGCAGTACTTTAACATAACTAAATATCATGATACATGATGTGTATTTTAAAAAGCTGACATGATAACAATGATGGTTCTGGCTTACTTGGTGCCATAGACGAAATCACACTTGACCAAAATTGCAAGTGTACCTCAGTGGATGTACATCAGGAGTAGGGAAGTATTTTAATTAGTGATTTCATTTGGTTATTTTTTCTAAGGCACTGTTAAAATATTATCCCTTCCCTATTTGAGGCTTCTCGCAGGTGACTTTTCATGAGCAGACAGACAGCAGCAGAGGCGTGAATGGCAGCAGAAAGTGGAGGTGTACCAATAGTACCCGCTAAAGAATTAATTTTCAATGACTGGGGCGCGTCTTGCGTGCCACACAAAACAGAGAGTGGGTGCAATCCTGTGTGAAACTGCCTCAAATGAATTATAAAGAAGTGAAGAGTGTGTCTGGAAACTGCGTGTGTGGGCGGCGCCCCGTGCTACCCCGAGCGCTTTGCCGCCATAGGAGGCTGCCTATATGGCCTATCTCAGGAACCGCCACTGCATGATAACATGATGTTTGCGCCACATTGCCTACTTGTTTTGTGCATCTTTCATGTCTTAAATTCAGACTTGTTCCTGAGTGTTTTGTAGCCATTCTCAGATTGCTGACTCATTTCCATGTCCATTCTGCTCCTGATTAAGACTTCCACTAACACTATTCCAATGCTCTTACTCGCTTCCCGTTGTCCCTGAATCACTCGTGTATTCACAGACCCGGGGGTTAATTGTACATCTACTTGGATTGTTGCTCTTCAGGAGAGTGTGTAAGTGCAAACAACACAACTCCAGAGCAGGTAATAGGCAGCATCCGTCAGAGCTTGTTCGCCTGCAAGTCCCTCTGTCTGATTACAACAATCACAGCACAATTTGTGATCCATGTGAGGACACAAAGAGAGCTTTTAAAGGCCAATCCAGCGGTCTGCAATTGCCGTGTCAAAATCACACCTTCTCTCTTAACACTCGCTTATTACACAGCTACAGTAATGACAAATCAGAGCGGAGAGAACACTTGATGGAGCCACACTCACCCCTCTAACAGGATTCATTTTGGTGTTGTGTATGTATGTATTCCTGATGAGGGCCATTAGCTGTAGCTGGTTTGGGCAGCACAGAATCAAAATATGGTTATTGGCAAACCTAGCTATTGAGTCAATATTGTTTTGGTCGAGCACAAGTGGGTTTACCTAAAGAAACCCTCTAAAGAGCTGTATATGGTATACTTGGCTCTAGGTTTGTTTGTAAATCAAGGTGCAAAGTCAGTCCTAAACCACTAAACCACAACAAAAAGAGTTGGTAAAACTCCCACCTCACAAAATAAGAAAATAAAACCCATGTGTAGTGGTTAAACATGCACTTTGAATTACTACATAATTTTGTTTATGGCAGATGTTGCACCTATTATAGCAGGTGCAAGTTTTAAATTATAACTTAAGACAGCATAAAAAAAATTGCTACTTGATGCAACAGTTAATTTTTTTTAGTAGTCTGTAAATGCAACTGTAACTTGAAAGTAGGCTAATTTCATTCTGTATAACATTCTACTGGTGCGAATGACTGCAGATGTAAATGTCCAAGAAGATGAACTTTACAGACAGTGAGGTAGACTGTTACATGAAAAGCACTTTTAATAGTGGATTGTCTAAGAAAAAGAAAGTGGCAAATGTTGTCACCTGCAGTGATAGGGTAGGAATGGAAAAGAAACGTGATAGCTGTTAAAAGAAATGCAGCCCACAAAAGGGAGAAGAATGAGAGAAGAATGGCGTACCAGCTCTGTGTTATTGCAAGATAAAACACTGTGGCTATTATTGGTGAAACTTAAAGGAATATTCACTTATGACACTGCAATTCAATCAGCCTCAAAAAGGGCTGGACTACCAGAAGGTAGTTAGTTCCAACAATTAATAGTTAACAC